CGCGGGGAGGAAATTGTGCGTATTCCTAGTTTAGCTGACAGAAGAGGCGGTCAGAAATTTTATATCCGATTACGCCGCCCCGAACTGCCTTTTTCCATGGCTTGAGCCGTGGGAGGTGTGTCATAGGAGCTCTGAGGGTTTTTTCTCCCAGGTATACGCTTTGGCCAGGGGCCACGCCAGCGCTGTGTGATCTGATTGTGCCCGGCGTTTTGACCAGCGACGTGGTAGGGCTGGAAGCATGGGCCGAGATAGTCTCCCAGGGTATATGGGCCGCTTCCTCTAATACGTCTGGCGCGTACCGCCTCTTTCTACAGAAGCACATATACCCCGTGATGCCGTCCATGAGCATTGGAGAAGAAAGATTTGCGATTGTCATATGGACAGGCGACGCAATGGTGGGGGGGAAATGAACTTTCGACCCGAGCAATACCAGACGGACGAGCACGCGGATGGACAGATGCGCATCCCGCCACTACCCTCGTGCGCCAACGCCAGTCCCGCAAGACACCTGTCTATTTCCTCTGTTTCACCTCGTACGACTACAACTTTATCGATATCATCTCCCGCTTTGTTTGCACCTGGCCACCAAAGCGAGATTCTTAACAAAAAGGACGTAGAAGAGGTAGGTTCGGGGATCGGAAGAAGGGCGGCTCCAAAGACAACGTACACCTGCAAGCAACATATTGACGTGCTTGTTAAAACGCCCATTAAATGTAAGTATCCCAAACATACACTTTTGAACCCTGTAATGCACACAGCTGGACTCTCTGTTGCCGACCATGTACCAAGGCTACTCTTGGAATCTACGGTTTTCGTAAGTGACTAGGGGGCAGATGCAAGGTTCAGCAGAGCGTGTGAGTGTTTTTCTACCCTCCTTCGACAAAGAGTATGTGGTTGTCTCGTTTGTATACACTCGCTACGGGTCAAAGCTTGATTTTTGACCCTATCCCTCCACACTGCTTGTCGATCCTCTCTCTCATCTTTCTCCGCTTTCTTGCCTTAGTCTCGACAAGGACGGTTCCAGTTTTCAGACCTTTTACCGACAAGTCAAGTCCGTGAGCCCCACGATCCTTGTCATACGATCCAAGGAGAACGAGGTGTGTAACGTGGGGCTGAAGTAAACTAGGTGTATGGAGTAAAAAGAGCTAGCAGCCACGTCATCCCAGATGTTTGTTTGTGGATCTCTGAGCGTCCGCTGGGTCTAGACGGAATGACAGGGAGTGGTCTGTGCCCATGTCTGTCCTCCTTCTCTTGAATCTCTTCTTCCGCCAGGTGTTTGGGGGTTTCACGACGACGCCCTGGGCCGTCCACACCACTGCCGCAGGGCCGCTCTACTACGGCACAGGCGAGAGTTTTCTGTACAAGGTACGGCCATCTCATCGAAGCCATGGAAGCAGTCTCAGTATATCCAAGGAAGGGATTTTCAACGCAGAGGAGGAGGAAGAGGACCTGAAAAGACCGGGGGAGGAAGAAAAGTCGAGCACACGGAGGAAAATGATTCAGTTTTTCCCATGGACACGGGAAAATACGTACTACATGCTGAGCACGGAAAACAGCCTAGGAATGGGTGGAGGAGGGTGAGTAAGATTTTGAGCGGCTTGTGTTGTAGTCATTGCTTGATTGTAATAGCAATCTCTCTCATTTGAGTTTTTCCTGACTGCTCCCATCAAATTTCTCTGAAATGCTGGCATTTTTTCCTCATTTGACTTCATTTATCATCGCACCTAACTCTAAAGTCCTTCCTCCCTCTCACACGCCTTGTACCCTAGTGGAGAATTCGGCCTTTTCATAGGGGACAACTTTCTATTTGGGAGCAGCGGGGAAAGCGAAACATTTTACAACGCCCCCCTCGCCCGCCACAAGACGTTTGAAATCCTTTCTTTTGAATGCTGGGCCCTGGAGCACCCCATGATCTGCCCCTCGACTCTTCACCCGTCGTCGTCCTCTGCTTTTACTCACTCCTCTTCCACCTCCTCCTCACTTTCCCCTACCGTCGCACGCCACCGAAACTCCCGCTCTCTCGGGTCGGACCAGGAAATCTTTTCGCTTGTCTCTCCCCATAAATCCGTCTACGAAATATTCGAGAGCGATTGCGGGGGCCGGGAGAGATATCAGCATGGAAAGGAATGCTAAGGAGAGTCCAAAAGCCCGGATAATGATCAAGCAGAATGATAAAGTGGTGTACATAAGCATAGTTCCATGAGTTTTGACTTCAGAGCAACCAAATAAAGCAGATTAAATGCACGACAAAGAATCACCGTGAACAACCATGCGTCCAAGATGTTGAGTGTGCTTATGTACACATGCGGTAAAATGGGGCATAGGAACCCCTATATAAGGCAATGTTCGAAAGAATTAAGTGTCGCCAGAAGCAAATCCGTTTCAAAAACTCCGGTGTAAATGGATATCTACCGGTATAAAATGAATATATACCTGTGTGATGCGCCGCGCGGAGGCATCCTGTCATTTTATTTTCGAGCCGCGAGTGCGTTTGAGCCCTGCATGCCCATCGTCGATTCCACCACCATCATCTTCGACAATTTAAATGTTGATGCGCTTCTGAAAGCTCAGAGGTATCATCTGAACCCATCAAATCACGCCTGGCGCACATCCTAATCGCATCGGCGTGGTGGGACCGTGTGTGATGTCACGGCCTAGACTATGGGAGTGACGTCACTGCCGCTTGCTCTTCATGCTTTTTGATGTGAGCATGCCGCGTGAAAAAAAGACTACCCGTGCGTGTCTGCTCTTCGTCTTGGTGCTTTTGACACACAAAATAATTATTGTGTAGCTAACTAAAGTAGTGTCAAAAGAGGCGCATCACCCTTTCCCGTCGCTGACTCGTCGCCTTACGCATGTTTTCGGAGTGATGCACTTCTATCAGATTATCCAAAACGTGCGACATCATTCAACGTATGACTTAGTCTTAGTTAATTAATGCGTTGCTTTCGACATTTTCCGGATCGTCCACCGCTGTGTGTACGGCTTACCCGCTTCCCGTGCACCTGCGCGCAGCCTCCTTTCTTGCCCCACCCGCTGATGGAAGCGCGATACAGTGCATGCCTCAGCATGACTGATTATTCCACCTCTTGTTTTATAAACAGGAAGCAATCATCCCCATGCCTGTTCGTCTTTTCACAAAAACTCATCTGACCCAGTTTTTGGCCGTCGGTACCCTTCTGTCCGGCACGACTTTGGTAGGAGTCAGAGCCTTTGCTTCGCCCGCCGGCCACCCGACAACCACCAGGATGAGCGCGAGTACCACGGGCAGACCGTCTACGTCAACATCCACGGCTTCCACGCTCTTTCCCATCCCTCTCCGAAAAGTAACTGGGGAAGCCGCGGCCTTGGGAGGGGCTATTCGGGCGGAAAACTTGATCAAACCGGATGGCGCAGTTATTTTTGTGGTCCGCCGTCCTGGCTGCATTTTATGCCGGGAGGAAGCCATGGATTTGAGCACACAACTTGCTCCTCGTCTGAAAGGCATCAAAAAGAAGCCCAAACTCATGGCTGTGGTGGCGGAGACTACGAGTGTGGACGGCTTTCTAGAAGCTTTCAAGGGTTTCGACACTTACTTGGACGAGGAACGCAGCTTTCAGAAGTTCCTCGGCGACCGGTGGCTGGGCCTAAAAGGGATGTTCTACCCGTCCGTGTGGAAGAACGGCTCGCGCGCTCAGAAAAAATACCCGGGCCTGGAAGGCGATTTGAAGGGGGAGGGCCGACGCTTGGGTGGCTTGGTGGTGGTGGACGGGCAAGGAGAGGTTGTGTACCAGTACAATGAAAAGGTGTTTGGGGACCACGCGCCTTTGGAAGAGGTGTATAGCGCCGCCTCTAAGTTGTAAGAAATCTGAAATTGCGTCGAAGAGGTGCTGAGAAGAGGTGCTAAATGGATGCCGTGTACACAGTGGACCAGGAGAAAGGAATGGGGACCAGCAAGCTTGTTCGTGAGGAATGCGTCGGGGTAAGCCAAATGTAGAAATACATGCACGGGAAAATGTCCACATTCACTTAAAACGTTCGCAAACGCCATGCCCCGACAAGAGGCAGTTTGGGAGGAGGAAGAGAAATGTTCCTAGGCACACAAAGAAGGCTTTCCTATATCTCGCAATCGACGGTGCGATGCTGTTATTTTGGGGGGCTTTGATCTCCCGTGCGTTCGCTGTGACTTTTGCGTTGGATTGAATGGCGACTTGTGTTTGTTCGACCGTCTTCATTTTCACGCACGTGTCCAAATTTATATTTACTGGCCTGCCCGTAACGGGCGTCACGCAAAAGAGACCGCCCACTCCCGTAATAACGCTCTCCTCCCTCGGCCCACAGTCCCCTCAAGGCGCCATCCATGCATTGATTGCCGGATCCTTACAGTTCTGTGCAGTTCACACGATCTCTTCCAGCGTCTTCCCTTCCGCCGCGGAGGTCGCCCTCTCCACCACGTCCTCCTCATGTCCCTCTGTCCTCATCCTCCCTCCATTCTCTGCATCCTCGATCCCTTCGACCATAGAAACCACCTCCTGTGCGTCTTTCTGCTCATCCTCCCTGGCAGCCACCACCTCACTCTCTTCCCCCTCCGCGCCCGCTGTCTCCCATGCCGTCCCTCCCTCTCTATCGTCCCCCCCCTCCCACTGACCCGTCAGGATCCCCTCCGTCCCTGACACTCTCCGCCTGCCCGTCTCTCATCGCTGTTCCCTGCTTATCCTCCACCACCGCTTGTTCCGCCTCCTTCTCCACGCTCTCGGTGTCCTCGCGCTCCTCCCCCCTCCCCTCTTCCCTGCCCATCACCACCGCCTCCCTCTCTCCCACCACCTCCCCGTGTACCCTGAAACGATACAAGCACGTGTACTCCGCATAGCCCCAATTGCTAAGCACCTCCAATGTCACCGCTCGCACCCCTTCGCCCCCCCCCCCCAGGTCCAAGGGGAATGTTTGCACCGGGCGGGGTCCCTGCATCTCGTACGTCAGATACTCTTGACTGTGTAGGACCACGGGGCTTTCAGCAGCCTGGCCCACCTTCCGCCCGAGCACACGGAACCGTTGCGGGGCCGTTGAAGGAAGCTGGGAGATTTCGGGGGGAATGTGCTCGAGCGACACCGAAAACGGCCGAACCGCCTGGAGGAGCTGCACCGTCACCTGCCCCCTGCTCCCTGCCATGGGCCAACATTGCCCGGGACGCTTGTGCCCAGCGCGGATGACCAGGTCGCGGGTGCCAATCTCCGCCTTGAAGCCCCAGGCGTGGAAGGTGTCTGTGCTCAGAAGTTGTCCGGGAGGGGTGTAGGTGGCCGAAGAGAGGGAGGGAAGGACCTTCCCGCCCGCGGTAGCCGCGGCGTAGTCAACCAGTCCCACGGCGTCGGCTTCGTACAGACGGACGGTCCTCTCCACCAGGGAGGCGACAGATTCTGGCGCACAGACCTCTTCCCCTGCCTGGTCCTGCAGCGCCTGGCCCTCCGAGAGCGTTTCCCGGACCCATCGCTTGACATCCTCTGCGGTGACGCCCGCCAAGACAGCCGAACCGGCCGGCTCCTCTCCTCCACTCGCCTTCTCTGCCTCTATCGCCATGCCAGAACGAGCTTGCTGCACCATTTCAAAACTCCGTTGCACGGCTGCCGCGAGCGTCGCCTGCCCGTTCCTCAGGGACTCGAGCTCTCCCTCCAAACGCTCCACCACTTCGGACTGCCCCTCGAAGCCTCCCTCCTTCACGTCCGCTTTCGCCGCCGCCATTGCTGCCGCTGCATCGGCAGCGGTGCTTTCAACAGTTTCCAGAATCTTTTGTGCCTCCTGCATCCTCGACTCCACTTCCGCTTTATGCGCGGTCAGGAGACGGTTCGACTCTAGGGTGGCGGCTATGATGCCCTTCCACTCCGACAGCTGCGTAGTCACGCTTAAAGAGGCGGTCTGGACGGCCTCCACGGTCTCTTTTGGGAGGGAGTCCTCCGGGCTGAGGGCGTGATCACCGGCTGCCTGCAGGGACCTTTGCAAGCCCTCCATTTCCAGCTGGGACTGTGACACCAAACGAGCCAGTTCTTCCCGCGCCTCCGTCACCTGACTGAGCAGAGATTTCGCCTCGTCCTCTGCCGCAACTTTGTGTGATCCCCAGGCCTCTTTTGCCGCCTGCAACTTCGTCTGCTCGTCTTTCATGTCTTGGACGCGTGACCCCAGGGAGGCGGTCGTCTCGCGCGCTTGGAGGAGGAGCTTTTCCGTCTCCTCGACTTGAAGTCCGCGTAGAGCCGAGGTCAAATCGTCCATCCCCCGGGCTGTCGAGTCCTCCAACGCACTCACGTTCAGGGACAAGGCCGCGACCTTCTCTTCCAGGGCGGACGTCTCGTGCGCCTCGTGGCGCATGCGTGCCTCCAATCCCTCCGTCTTTTCTTGGACTGCCTCCAAATTGTGCTCTACCTGCGCTTTAATAGCCTCATAGTCCGCCATCAGGCCCTCCAGTTCATGCACACGTTGATTATGCTGCTCGGTTTGTTGAGATTCAAGATTTGTTTTTAGCTCTTGAAGGTCTCGAAGCATTCTAAGTGTCGCTTCCTGACCCGAACCGGCAACACTTTCGGCTTCCCCTTTTATGTCAGAATACATGTCTTGGTCTTTCCTCAAACTCTCCATTAGTTGTGTCAGGTTTAAATAGCCCTCCTTCAGGTACTTCGTTGTTTCGTTGTACGTCTCCAAGCGCTCTTCGACAAAGCGTTCTACCATACTTTGCACGGCAGGATCAGCCATCCAATCGAAAGGCAATTTTCCCACATCCAATCCTTTTCCCACTGAATGTCCATTGCCATCAGAGAGCGCGATCCCGCATGTACTTAGAGAATTGGTTACGTCGCCATTTAATACCCCAGGAAACATGAGGTAGGCCAGCATGCTGAAAACTGCGAAAACAAATAATGTGCCCAAAACATGACTGGCCTTGATTTTTTCACCCTCCATCTCCTCTAGTGCAAACAGCGGCGCATCATGACCCGCTTCGCTCCCAGATGTTTCATCACCTTGCTGCATCAAGCCCAAATCGTATGCACCCGAGTCTCGAGCCCTGAGACCAAGGCGACGAGGAGAGGGTGTCGGTGTGCTGTCAACGCTGCTCCTGACGCTGGGGCTGTTGCGTCGTCTGGCCGACATTGTCACCTTATGCTTGTGTCCCCGATAGTGTTTGAATGGATAGGTCAGAGTCAGTTACGACTGGAAATTCCTGCTTCTTTAGGCGAGTCTTGAAGCTTTCCCGACCAGAAAATCAAAAGAAAGCGAGCCCGGATGACGATGGTGAGGGAGGCCATGTGATGAAATAGGTCCCTTCGGTTGGCGAGGGCTGATGACGACCGAGACGGAGGCGATATGATGGAAAACGACCTTTCCATTGAGCCGTCGTGCCCACCACAATTCGTCGCGAGCATCGAAGGGAACCAGGCACTCGAACGCGACCATCGAATACGCCGGCAGCATATACACAGGTCAGCGTGAAGGGAGGATAGAGTGAATGTGTGATTGTTTCGGCTATATGGCAGAACCTGGATGAACCTGAGGCTCGTCAGCCCTTGAACGTCACTGGAGACCTTCGGGTAGAAAGTCAGACCCTTGTACCATTTATGAATATAGCCATTCCGACCAGTTTTCATTTAATACTAACCTTTATTTCCTTCGTTTGGTTATATCAACGTACTTTATACGCCATGAGCAGGAAAATATCTTGTTTTTTGTCAGGATTGTCGCTGCTAGGATCGGCTTTCTCTAGCTAGACCTCTCTTCAAGAAAAGTCCACGATGGGTAAGAAAAAGTCAGCCACCAAACGGGAGGAAGCGCCCGACATATGGTGCTACTACTGCGATCGCGCCTTTGATGACGAGGCTACCCTTCTCCTCCATCAGAAGAACAAGCATTTCAAGTGTCAACTGTGTCCTCGCAAGCTTACTTCGGCAAGTGGAATGGTAATTCATGTGACACAGGTACACAAAGAAACGCTAAAAAAAATACCCGGTGCGAAGGAAGGAAGGGATTCTGTGGATGTAGAAGTCTTCGGCATGCAGGGTATTCCCATGGAATGCCTCATGGAACGCGCCGCCAAGAAGCAGAGGACAGGAGGGGATCCAGGGGGCTCTCACGGAGAGGCTAACGGTGGAGGAATGCCGGGCTTGCCGCCCGGTATGGGCCCAGGGATGGGTATGGGAGCAGGCTTTCCTCCCGGAATGGGAGGCCCTCCGGGACCCAATGGTATGTACGGACAGATGCCCAATTTCCCACCGCAGCAAGGAGGAGTCTTTGGTGGGTACGGCATGGGGGGTTTCCCGCCCAGGCCAATGTCAGGGCCGCCGGGCATGTTCCCTCCAGCAGGCAGGATGATGATGCCCCATCAAGGGGGAATGCCTCCGGGCATGTATCCCTTTCCCCCGGGCCAGCAAGCCCCTCAGGCATTCCCGAGGGGCCAGCCGGGGATGCCGCCCCTCCCTGCCTTGGGATCGGCCCCCTTGGGGCCGGGCGGGTACGTTCCTGGGCAGCATCAGCAACAGCAACATTCAACGCAGGAGCCGCGTCACCCCCACCAAGCACCACAACCGTCCCAGCCGGGGCAATCCTCACCATCGCAACCTCATCATCAACAACACCCGCAGCATTACCAACCCCAGCAGCCGCAACCATACCAACAAGGCATGCCTCCCATGCCCCCCGGGCAAGCTCCTCCCCGTCCAGGAGTGTTTCCCCCGGGCCCGCCCCCTGGTCTGCCCCCAGGCGCCCCCCCTCGGCCCCTCTTCCCTGTTGCTGGCTTCGCGCCCGCCCCTCCTTCGACCAGCTCCCCTACGGTGTCGGCTGCCCCCTCCGGGACACAACATCCAGCGACCGAAACGACGGCAGTGGCCACCAAGGAGATGAAGTTGGTGTACGCAGAGGAGTCAGAGTCCATGGAAGAACGGCGGGCCAAGCTTCCCAAGTATTTCTACGATGAAAAGGTCGTTCTTGCGGGAAGTGGGTCTTAAGAACGACGAGTTGAAGCGAGCGGAAAGGTTTGATGTCAGGGGGCTTGCGGGAGATTGGCACAGGGGAAGAATGAACTTTTCCGCTCAACAGCAGCTCTTCTTTTTTGAAAAGTCGCAATTTTGTCTCAGGCTTTGCTTCACATATGAGACGCCTACACTGGCACTGGTGCTGTGTGCAAATAGAAGGAGGAAACCATAAGGTCTGTTCCTTTTTTAACCATGATAAAGGGAGACGACGTCCTTCGCGCCTCCAACTCGTGAACTGAAGACAGAAAAATCGTTGCATGGACTTGAGCCAGGTTGTTGTGCGTTCCTCTTGTTGATTTGCGTCCTTTTAATGCCGGGAAAATCTCTGAGAGGTCTTCCTCGCCAACTTCCTGTCGATCGCTCGAAACACATCCCGTAGAGCAATTCTCGAGAGGCGATGCAAACGATAACGGACACCAACATGCACATTCAATAACCTGCACAACAGTTCGTGGATGTCGGCAGGTGAAAATGCTGGGGTAGCACAGCAGGAAACAGAGCTTATTTGGGGGCCCTTGCTTGCGGAAGCAGCTCGTTCGGAGCAGTCGAACTTCACCCCTGGCACGATTCTTTTTCTAGGCGACGCAGCTGTAGGGAAAACTCGGTTGATTGACCGCTTCATCACAAGCTACGATGCCTTGGAAAGGCAGGCGGCAGCGACCGGAAGAAATTTTATTGCCGAGGAGGAGAAGGAGGACGAGGAAGGCCAGGAGGGGAGCGGGGCCCTATCATCGCACGATCACTCTCTGCTCTCTTACGCCTTTTTCCCTGCAATCGACCCCGTGGGGTGCAAAGCAGGTGGACAATCGTGGGATAATGGCACAGTAGGAAGGTCTTCGGAGTGTCTACCGGGTAGATGCCCGGCTGGGGCTTCAAAAGGGCTGGCGGAGGACGACCAAGACGCCGGCGTAGATGAGAACGAAATGGATGCAGGAGCCCGCGTAAACGTCTGGTCCTTGAGCGACCCTGCCCTCAAGGATCTATTGCACGTTGCGCTGGATGATCCTGGAGTACGTCGCAGAGCTGCAAGCATAAGAAGTGAGGTTCCGACCGACCCGCGCTTTGACACCAGCAGCCTAAACAGCAAGAGCACCCCTGCTCAGACGTTACAGCGGACAATTTGCATGATTGCGATAGATTTGACCCGGCCCTGGGCATGTGAATCGGCGCTGGAGCGATGGGTTGGTGTGTTGAGAAGTGTATTGGGAGAGAAGGCCCGTGCAGGGTGTCACAAGGGAGAGGAGGAGGGAGAGGAAGAGAGGGTACGGAAAGCACGCTTGGTGGCCTATCTGAGCAGATGCTACCAAGGCGAGGACATGGATAGGGTTTGGTTGGAGCGTGGCGAATTGAAGGAGGAGGAGGAGGGGGG